ACAGGGTTTCACCATGTTGACCAGGATGGTCTCGATCTCTTGACCTCGTGATCCACCCGCCTCGGCCTCCCAAAGTGCTGGGATTACAGGCTTGAGCCACCGCGCCCGGCCTAATTTCCCTCTTTTTATTACTACTTTTTACTTTGTGGTGTTTTATTCAATGCACAATATTACTATTTTTATTTAAATTGATCCTATTTATATGATCAAATTTGCATATTTACATAAATTTATCTGTGACTTCCAGGTTTCATGTCATAATTAGGAAGGCTTCTCCACAGAGAGATTTTTAAAATTTAACCAAAAGATATTATTATAGTTTTAGTTTCTTAACACTTTTTGGTTTGTTTTTTATTTATATATTTATTTTGAGAGAATCTTGCTCTGTCACCGAGGCTAAAGTACAGTGGCACAGTCTCAGGTCACTGCACCCTCCACCTTCCAGGTTCAAGCAATTCTCCTGCCTCATCCTCCTGAGTAGCTGGGACTATAGGTACCCACTACCACGCCCGGCTAATTTTTGTATCTTTAGTAGAGATGGAGTTTCACCATCTTGGCTTTGAACTCCTGACCGGTGATTCACCCATCTCGGTACCCCAAAGTGCTGGGATTATAGGTGTGAGCCACCATGCCCTACCTTAACATTTTTTAATATGTTCAGGCACAACAAATCATGGTTGCAGGGTGAATTTGATTTTCAGAACCATTTCAGGGTTGTCAGAAGGAAAATGTGGCCAGGCACAGGGGCCTCCGCCTATAAACCCAGCACTTTGTGGTACCGGAGATGGGTGGATCACCAGTCAGGAGTTCAAAGCCAAGATGGTGTAACTCCATCTCTACTAAAGATACAAAAATTAGCCAGGCGTGGTAGTGGGTGCCTACAATCCCGGCTACTGGGCAGGCGGGCAGATCACCTGCAGTCAGGAGTGTGAGACCATCCTGGCCAACATGGTGAAACCCCATCTCTACTATAAATACAAAAAAAAAAAAAATTAGTGGGGCGTGGTGGTGTGCTCCTATAATCCCAGCTACTTGGGAGGCTGAAGCACAAGAATTGCTTGAACCCAGGAGACGGAGGTTGCAGTGAGCCAAGATCAAGCCCCACTGCACTCCAGCCTGGGTGACAGTGAGACTTTGTCTCAAACAAACAAACAAGGAACATGTGATATTCAGACTGGGGTAATGCCATTTTTGGATAAAATCAAAGATGATGAGAATGAGGCAGTTCCAGGAGAGAGCTCTCAGGAAGGTGCAGGTCACCCATCAGTAACAGAGTCCCCAGGCGAGGGCTTTGAGGAGCCACACTTGGGTGTGCCGTCTCTGGTGGAGGTTTTTAATATGACCTGTGTGGAAGCCATGAGATGTGGGGCATGTTTGAAACAACTGGAGCTGTTCATCCTGCAACGAGGAGCTTTTGGCTGGACAGGAATGTGACATGTCTTCACTACTACCTGAAGGACTGTCAGACGCTGGCCTGTGCCATGTGGCTCCAGAGGCGGCAGAAGTTACAGGGACACTGCTGTAGGATTGCTCACTCAAGCAATGAACAATGTGCAGGGCTAAGGCTGGCCTGTCCTTGGCATGTGCCCCTTCGCCTGTGGGCACCTGAGCGCTTGAGAAAGGAGGCTGCGTGAATGAGAGGTTAGAGTCAGGTTCTTCCAGCGCCTTCACGCTCATCAGATTCTTGGATTCGCCTTGCAAATGATTTTGAAAATAATGGTCAGGTAAGCATACTTACATTCTATCTTCCTTAATTGTAAATGAATAACAGTAGTTGTGTTTGTGGAGTGCTTGCTGTGTGTCAAGCACGATGCAGGCTGGACTGCGTGTTTTGTGGTCAGTGATTGAATCCTCAGCCTCAAGGCAGGTACTGTGCATCTCCGTCCTGCCACCAAGAGAAGCAGGCCTGCAGGAGCTTGAGGACCCACCTGGACCACTCAGACCCGGCTCTGCAGGCTTCCTGCACCCGAAACAGTGGGCTACCTTGCCTCCTGACACGGCAACTGTCTCTGGAGAAATGTTTCCTGATCACATCAGGCCATGTGCTCGCTATTAAAGGCAGGTCTCTCCACTGAAGAATCAGCCATCTCCGTAACAGTGTGCTTGTAATGCTTACAAAAATAGTTACACAGTCGAGAGAAATAATAACTCCCTCTAGACCTCACTGCCCCTTTATCATTTTGACAGCCTCTGATTATTTTCCTTGTTATTGATTCAGTGGATAAAAGTTTCTGTTTAAGAGCTTAAGTGCAGCCTTGTGAATCTTAGTATCTGCCGCATGATTTACGTGGTTCAGAAGCAGACATCCCCCTATAAGGCGTCCCGTCTCAACAAGCCTCTCTAGAGGTCAGGAGAGCCCAGAGCCGTTTTATGGCACAGCACAGGGTGGTGGGATGGCTCTAAACACAGCTTCCAAGAGGGTCTAGTGCTCAGTTGGCATGGAGATGTGGCTCCTCCAGACCTACCGGGGAGGACAGCCAGGGATCACGTGGCTTTGTAAATAAAAATGCCCAAGCTCAGAGGCCTGCATGGATTTTTTTTTTTTTTT